ATTTTGAAAAAAAAAATCTTTTTCTTCGTTTCTGTTATAAAATTTTGCAAATAAGTCATTTTTCTTCCTCACTGATGTGCACTAATGAGGCTGCACTGTTGGGCTCTGGTAGGCTACACTGATGAGCACTGATAGGCTGCACTGATGGGCACTGATAAGACTGCACTGATGAGGTGGCACAGATAGGCACTGATTGCCATTGATGAGGCGGCACTGATAAGCTGCATTGATGGGCACTGATGAAGAGGCACTGATGAGGCTGCACCAGGGGTGGAGTGATCATTCGAGCACTCAGGCACTGCCCGAGGGCCCAGGGTCAGTAGGGGGCCCCATGAAATGCCCCTCGTACCTTTTTTATAGGCTTTTTTGGGTGTGCTTTGAGTGTGGGCAAGGACACAGGGGCCCCATGATCCCCTATTGCCCGGGGGCCCCATGAGTTGTCAGTCCGCCCTTGGCTGCACTGTTAAGCTTGCACTGATGGGGACTGATAAGCACCACTGATCTGCTGTACTGATTATTATTATTATTATTATACAGTATTTATAAAGCGCCAATAGTTCACTCAGCGCTGTACATTACAAAGGGGACAGAACATGTGACAGAACAATACCAATACAATGCAAAACATGAGGGGATCGAGGCCCTGCTCTTTCGAGCTTACAATCTAGAAGGGATGGGATAGTGGTACAGGAGGAGATAGCTGTGGGGGATGGAGTGGTAGGAAGAGTGGAGGAGGTCAGCAAGTTAGCAGGGGGTGAGGTAGGCTTCCCTGAAGAGATGGGTTTTCAGGGTGCGCCTAAAGGAGAGGAGAGTAGGTGATAATCTGATGGGTTGGGGCAGGGAGTTCCAGAGGATGGGTGACACCCTGGAGAAGTCCTGGAGGCGGGCATGGGAGGAGGAGACCAGGGAGCTAGAGAGAAGGAGGTCTTGTGAGGAGCGGAGTGTGCGTGCTGGGTGGTACTTGGATATTAGGTCAGTGATGTAGTTCGGGGCAGTATGGTGGACAGCTTTGTACGTCAGTGTTAGGATTTTAAATTTGATCCGTTGCGCAATCGGAAGCCAGTGGAGGGATTGGCAGAGGGGGGGCCTGGCGGAAACAGAGCGTTTGGAAAGGTGAATGAGTCTGGCAGCCGTATTCAGGATCGACTGAAGCGGGGATAGCCAGTGGCGAGGTAGGCCAGTGAGGAGGGAGTTGCAGTAGTCAAGTCGTGATATGATGAGGGAGTGGATGAGCTGTTTAGTGGTTTCTGGGGTTAGGAACGTGCGGATTTTTGGCGATGTTGCGGAGGTGGAGTCTGCACGAGTTTGTTAAAGATTGGACTTGGGGCTGGAAGGATAGGTTGGAGTCCAGAATGACACCAAGTACTCTGGCCTGCAGAGCGGGTTTGATATTGGCGTTGTTGGATGTGATGTAGAAGTCAATGGGGGGTGGGGTTCGGGCTGGGGGGAAGACAAGGAGCTCGGTTTTGGAGAGATTCAGTTTAAGGAAGTGGAGCGACATCCATTCTGATATGTCGCTCAGTAGATGTGTAATTTGGGCAGAGACCGAGGGGGTGAGGTGGGGGGTTGAGAGATAGATTTGTGTGTCATCGGCATAGAGGTGGTAGTTGAAGCCGTGAGAGTGTATGAGTTGGCCAAGGGAGGAGGTGTAGATGGAGAAGAGAAGGGGCCCAAGGACAGAGCCTTGAGGGACCCCAACAGAGAGGGGGAGTGAGGGGGAGGTGGTAGCATTATAGGTAACGCTGAAAGAGCGTTGTGACAGGTAGGATGAGAGCCGAGAGAGCAGAATCTCTGAGGCCGAGGGAGTGTAGTATTTTGAGGAGGAGGGGGTGGTCAACTGTGTCGAACGCCGCAGAGAGGTCAAGGAGTAGGAGCACTGAATAGTGGCCATTAGCTTTGGCGGTTAGAAAGTCGTTGGAGAGTTTGAGTAAGGCGGTTTCGGTGGAGTGTAGGGGGCGGAAGCCAGACTGTAGGGGATCGAGGAGGTTGTTGTCGTTGAGGTGAGAGCATAGGCGGGTGTAGACGAGGCGCTCGAGGAGTTTAGATGTAAGTGGGAGCAGGGAGATGGGTCTGAGGTTGTTCGGGTCATTGGGGTCCAGGGAGGGCTTTTTAAGTATGGGGGTGATGTGTGCATGCTTCAGTGGGGAGGGGAAAGTGCCAGAGGAGAGGGAGAGATTAAAGATGTGGGTGAGGGAGCGTAGGATGGAGGGGGAGGGAGGTCGTAGGAATTGTGAGGGGATAGGGTCGAGGGGGCAGGTGGTGAGGCGGGCATCAGAGAGGATCTTGGAGACTTCCTCGATGGTAGTAAGGTCAAAGGTGCGGAGTGTTGGGGGAGCTTCAGTATGAGGAATGTAGGGTGGGGTGGGAGAGGAGGTCAGAGCAGTGGTGAGGCCGTGGGAGAGGGGTGAAGAGGGGGTAGCTAAGTGAGGGGGAAGGGGGTTGGAGGGAGTTTGAGCAGCGACGAAGTCCCTGCGGGTAATGTCGAGGGGGGGGGGGATGATGGGGTAGCTGTGTGAGAGGGGACGGGTTGAGAGGGCGTGTGAGTTGCGGCAATGTCCTTGCGAATTGTGTCAATCTTGTTTTTGAAGTGATTGGCAATATCAAGGGCGGTGAGTGAGGTGCTGGGTGGAGGTAGGGGTGGAGAGAGTAGAGAGTTGAAGGTGGAGAAGAGTCGGCGAGGATTGGAGGAGAGGGCCTTGATGAGGGTCAGGAAGTAGGCTTGTTTGGCTGCGTGGAGGGAGGAGGTGTAGGTGCGGAAGGCAGATTTGTAGCAGGTGAAAGCTTGTTGGGATTTTGTTTTGCGCCATAGTCGCACTGATCTGCTGCACTGATGGAGCTACACTGATGGGCACTGATATGCTGCACTGATGGGCACTGATATGCTGCACAGATGTGATTTACTGATGTGCATTGATATGCTGCACTGATGGGGCCACACTGATGGACACTGATATGCTGCACTTTGGGAGCTGAATTGATGGGACTGATATGCTACAATGATGTTGCTGCCCTGATTATCAGTGTAAATGTCCCTGTCACAGGAAAGCCGTTATCAGCTTTCCTTTCCACAGACAGTGACAGTTCTGAGGAAAGGAAATGCTGATAGCCGGCATTTGTTTACATGTGATCAGCTGTGATTGGACACAGCTGATCACATGGTAAAGAGCCAATGTCATTGGCTCTTTACCCTGTGATGCGCAGTGTCTGAGGGACACAGCTCACCACTGATCGCTGCGCGCCCCCGGTTGTGCGCATGTGCGGCAAGAATGGGAGGATGTCTTAAGATGTACTACCAGAATGAGAATGGTCCAAGTTAAAACAGTATTAAATTCCTTTTCATTTTTAAATTAAGTGGGCCCCTAGGTGGTCTCTGCCATATTGTGCTAGTATGCACCCCAAGTAGACATTTTTGGAACGATTCATTATTTCGGGAGAGTATATATTATTTTATTCCAAATTGATTTGTATTTTCAGAAATTCTGTTATTCTTTTGTTATCTTAGAAGATTGGCTATATGGGCAGCACAGTGGCTAAATGGTTGGCACTTCCACTTGGCAGCACTAGGGTCGTTGGTTCGAATCCCAACCATGGTACCACCTGCCTGGAGTTTGGATGTTCTCCCTGTGCCTGCGTGGTTTTTTTTCCCAGACTCCAAAGACATGCTGGTAGGTTAATTGAATCCTGTCTAAATTGGGCTTTGTATGTGTATGTATGAATGTGAGTTAGGGACCTTAGATTGTACGCCCCTTGAGGGTTAGGGACTGAAGTGAATGTACAATATGTATGTAAAGCGTTATGTAAATTGATGGCACTATATAAGTACCTGTAATAAATATTAATTTTACCGTGTTAATTCGTTACTTCAGGAGATCCATATATAACAAAAATATTTGGAATTATTTGCTTTATTCAGATGCAACAGAATGAATGCAGTTAGGCCCCAAATTTTTCAAAACTTAGAATTGCATTAGACCGTGGAACCGGCTTATGGAAAATCAAAAATTTACTTCATGTACAATATTGCACAAGCAGTACAGACAGTTACGCAGCCTCTACCATTAGGCATCACTCCTGCACAATACATAAACCCAATCATTTCCCCATTCCCAACTGGCTCTGTTTGTTGCGCATGCACATACAAACTAAATGAACGGTATCTCAACCCCAATACAAAAAGAATATTATTAGAATATTCATGCTACACTCACTAGAATACAAACCAATGTATCTGAATCAATCCAGATCAGTCGTTATATCATTAAGTTATTTCGGTTGCTTTAAACATTAACAAAAGGCCCAACCTATCACATCATGTCATCTGAATAAAACAAATTAATTAATTGTTTTTGTTAAAAATTTATTTTGGATCAGCTGAAATTCATTACTATTGTGATTCGAGATTCATATATATTGGAATCATGCAAATTTCATCTGAAACAAATCACACATGTCAAGGGCCAAGGTATTCCCCTCAGTTGAATGCATACAAGGGCGAAATACACTCTATTGCCAAAACTATTAGGACGCCTACCTTTACACGCACATGAACTTTAATGGCATCCCAGTCTTAGTCTGTAGGGTTCAATATTGCGTTGGCCCACCTTTGCAGCTATAACAGCTCCAACTCCTCTGGGAAGGCTGTCCACAAGGTTTAGGAGTGTGTCTATGGGAATGTTTGACCATTCTTTCAGAAGCGCATTTGTGAGGTCAGGCATTGATGTTGGATGAGAAGGCCTGGCCCACGGTCTCCACTCTAATTCATCCCAAAGGTGTTCTATCGGGTTGAGGTCAGGATTCTGTGCAAGCCATTCAAGTTCCTCAACCCCAAACTTGCTCATCCATGTCTTTATGGACCTTACTTTGTGCACTGGTGTGTAGTCATGTTGGAACAGGAAGGAGCCATCCCCAAACTGTTCCCAAAAAGTTGGGAGCATCAAATTGTCCAAAATGTCTTGGTATTCTGATGCCTTAAGAGTTCCCTTCACTGGAACTAAGGGGCCAAGCCCAATCCCTCCACTAAACTTTACACTTGGCATAATGCAGTCAGGCAAGTACCATTCTCCTGGCAACCACCAAATCCAGACCCGTCCATCAGATTGCCAGACAGAGAAGCGTGATTCGTCACCCAAGTGAACACGTCTCCACTGCTCTAGAGTCCAGTGGTGATGTGCTTTACACCACTGCATCCGACACTTTGCACTTGGTGATGTAAGGCTTGAATGCAGCTGCTTGGCCATTTAAACCCATTCTATGAAGCTCTCTATGCACTGTTGTTGTGCTAATCTGAAGGCCACACACGAAGTTTGGAGGTTTTTAGCTATTAACTCTGAAGACAGTTAGCTACTTCTGTGCACTGTACGCTTCAGCATGTGCTGATCCCACTCTGTCATTTTACGTGGCCTACCACTTTGTGGCTGAATTGCTATTCTTCCCAGTTGCTTCCACTTTGTTATAATACCACTAACAGCTGACCATGGAATATTTAGTAGCAAGGAAATTTCACGAATGGACTTATTACACAGGCGGCAACCTAACACGGCACCACGTTTAAATTCACTGAGCTCCTGAGAGCGACCCATTCTTTCACAAATGTTTGTAGAAGCAGTCTGCATGCCTTCATTCTTGATTTTATACACCTGTGACCATGGAGGTGGTTGGAACACCTGAATTCAATGATTTGGAGGGCTGGCCCAATACTTTTGGCATTATAGCATATGTGGGACTGCAGGGTAGGGAATGTCTTGTCCACTTATGATCGGCCCAGTACAGGTTCCTGGCAGGTGAATTCAGAATAGGATCCAAACACATGTGAGCTCATCACATAGTCAGAAACACACATACATAAATATAAACACCTGCATGTAAACTCTGTTTACCTTACCTTTGTACGTGGACATCATGTGAAAACTGTCTGGTTGATTTTTTTTATCTCCAATTGATCTACAATCTGGAATCCAGTAAAAAATCCAGACAGACAAATATACGGATGGCACAGCTGAGCTTTCTTGCTTTTTCACATTTAATCATTTGTGTTGTCTCTCTTCCACGATGTGGCATTTATTTGCTCTAAGAGAGGTCATAGCATGAGAGCACTGTCATCCCAGTACAATAAGATGTAGAGGTCCTACTCGGGAAATTGTGTTTTTACCTAAATTGTCTGAATTAGTTTGTTCAGTGGAGAGTGGACTCTATGGGTGTGTGGGCGGATGCAGATGTGGGAATTGTATAATTTTTTTCCCTTTCCATATTCAAGTAGCATTTTAACAGACCAGTGTTTTCAATAAAGAAAAGTATGTTATACATTACATCATAAATGGAATTTATACTGGATCATGGACCTCTGGGCCACTATGGCTTGTTTGGCAAATATTTCCTGGCCCAGAAGCAATGTCTGTTTAAAGTGATTGTAAAGGAACATTTTTTATTTTTTAAAAATAACAGATGTTATAATTACCTGCTCTGTGCAATGGTTTTGCACAGAGCAGCCCCAAACTGCCTGTTCTCAGGTCTTCCTCTGGTGCTCCTGGCTCCTCCCCTCCTATCGAGTGCCCCCATAGCAAGTTCCTTGCTATGAGAGCAGTCATGTGGGCGCACTCCTGAGCATGTCCATAAACACAAAGAGTGCAGCTTGGCCCCATCCCTTGCTTCCTCCATATTAGCCTTGGTTGACAACAGCGGGAGCCAATGGCTTCAATAAATGAATCCAAAACAAAACAAATTTGTCATCTTGCACATCTCTACTACTGTGTTTGAGCCAATGAGGAGGGAAAGAGCTGAGAGAGCCTCTGTTTTTGTGCACATCTCTGGATCAAGATCAGGCTCAGGTAAGTGTAAGGGGGGCTGGGGGTGTGTTTTTTTTTACCTTAAAGTGATACTAAAGCTTACATTGTTAAAAAATAAAATAATAAACATGTTATACTTACCTGCTCTGTGCAGCAGTTTTGTACACAGCTGCCCAAATCCTCTTCATTAATGGTCTCCTGTGGTGCTCTTGGCTCCTCCCCCTTGAGAAGTGCAGAGAAAGCCGCTTGCCCTGGGGGTGCTGCTGCATGCTTGCTCCCGAGCCGCTACTTTATATGTCCATAAGACACATAGAGCAGCGGCATGCCCCTCCCACTCTCTCCTCATTGGCTCAATGGCTATGATTGACAGCAGACGCTTCTGTCTCAGTCCAATGAGAAGGGAAAGTCCCCATACAGCCAAGGTTATTGTGAACAACAGTGGATAGGAGGGGCAGGGCTGCTGTAAGAAACCATGGGGCCCCATACAACCAACCTGACAGGGACCCCTGAAAAAAAAAAGTTTATTATGCTTCAGTTATGAATGAACACAGTGAATGATTGGAACTGATCACTCATTGTGTTCATTCAGGAAAGAAAGAGACTGGTAAATGTGACATATTTACCGGCCCTTCACCCCCACTCTCGATTCTGAAGGATCCTATTGTGCGGTGGCAAGGAGAGGGGGGAATCCGGCAGCACTGTGGGGGGAGGAGACACACTGGGGGGCTTGGGCAGCAGGAGGAAATGTATGATGCACAGGGAGGGTGGTAGGTGCACCAGGGGGGCAATTACTGGAACTGGTCTCCTGTATTGCTCCCACTACAGCAGCTGAAAGCCAGCAAGAGGGAGAGAAGAAGTCAGCTTTCAGTTGCTGCAGAGAGCCGTACAGGGGATCGGTTCCAGTAATTGCCCCCTGCCATGCCGATCACCCTTCCTGCCCACATCTGATTCACCCAGCTGGCTGGGCCCCCCTGTTGGCCTGGCCCTGAACAAGAGGACTGGTGGTACCCCCTTATCCACAGCCCTGAGAAGGGGGATAAGGTAAGGGTTGAGGGGGGCTGAGGGAGCCGCTGCACACAGAAGGTTATTTTTACCTTCATGCATAGAATGCATGAAGGTAAGAAATCTTGAGCCTTTAGATCCACTTTAATGCCATTGGCTCCTTCTGCTGTCAATGACATCCAGTCAAGAGGGAGCGGGGGTGGGACAGAATTTCTCTCTGTGTGTCTTTGGACACCCAGAGCTGGCTTGGGAGCAAGCTTGCATGAGGACTCCCATAGCAAGCTGTGAGGAGAGGAGCCAGGAGCACCAATAGGGGCCACAGAAGAGGAGGACTGGGGCTGCTCTGTGCAAAACCATTGCACAGAGCAGGTAGTAAACCATGTTTGTTAATTTTTACAAAAATAAAATGTAATCCTTTACAATTACTTTAAATCCTTCCTGGATTGTTCATTGTTTTCCTGATCAGGCTTGGGCAGGTGCAGGGGCGGACTGACCATTTGGCGAGCACTCGGGCACTGCCTGAGGGCCCGGGGTCAGTACGGGGCCCATGAAATGCCCCTGGTACCTTTTACAGGCTTTTTTGGGTGTGCTTTGAGTGTGGGCAAGGACACAGGGGCCCCATGATCCCTTATTGCTCGGGGGCCCCATGACTTGTCAGTCTGCCACTGGGCAGGAGGCTTCATTGCAGATTAGTCATAACATAGAACTCTCAGTAGCTCAGTGCAATTGCATTGGGGTTAGTTTACTAAAGGCAAATAGGCTGTTCAGTTTTCAAGAGAATTTTCCCTTACCTTAGTGAATGAGGAAAAACTCTGCTGAGTTCAATCATCCAATCCATCCAAACTGTGCAAGCAAAAACACAGTTTTTTCTCCCTTGCACATGATTGGGTATTCTTTGCAAAGTGGATTTTCATTAAGCTAAGAAAAAATTCCCTTGCAGGATGAACAGCTTATTTATATTTAGTAAATCAAGCCCATTGTCTCTAAATAACTGATGAGATAAGATAAGAGCCACATAAGAAGTGCATTCATTTCAGCACAAACCTAGAGTATAATGATGAATTTACTAAAGGAGTAGAGAGTGTTTACATAGTTTAGTCCACAGGGTGAAGCTATGCACACTAAACCACTTGCCCTCCAGAGGATTTTCCCCACTTCATGACCAGGCCATTTTTTGCGTTATGGCGCTGCATTAATTTAACTGACAATTGCGCGGGTCATGCAGCGCTGCACTCAAATGAAATTTACGTCCTTAATTTCCCACAAATAGAGCTTTCTTTCGGGGTATTTTTTTGCCTGGGTGTTGTTTATTTTTTGCGCTATAAAAAAAAAGACCAACAATTTCGAGAAAAAAACTATTTTTTTTACTTTTTGCTATTAAACATGTCCAGTAAAAAAAAATTAAAAAATCAATTTCGCCATAAATTTAGGCCAAAATGTATTATGCTACATCTTTGCTAACAAAAAAATCCCAATTAAATTGTAATTGTAAATTAATTGGTTTACATGAAAGTTATAGCGGTGTATATACTGGGCTTTTTTGTTATTTTTTATTTTTATTAGTAATCAATCAGCGTCTTATAGCGGGACTGCAGGACTGCGGCGGGCATTCTGACACTGGGGGGAACTGACTTGGTGTTACTGACATCCCAGTCAAAGGGTTAACTGTGTGCTGGGACCAGGTGATTGACAGCCGAGGCTGTCAATATATATACATGATTTGGGCACCACTGCCACCCTGTAGCAGTATTTCTTCTTTAGGGCAGCGGTAAAGTGGTTAAAAACACAGAATATTGGTTAATTGATTGCATGTGATTAGATGATTGAAGCAAACACAGCTTTGGCTTATTCACAAAGCTACATATTGCCATGTGAATACATGTATATCCATAGGGAAGGGGGCCAGGATGCCATATATTGTTGGAGGGTGATGTATTATTTGGAGTCATATATGCTTCTGGGGTGGAGGGAAGGGTGTATTGTTTGGGGAAATACAATACTGAAGATATACTGCTTAGGGAGATAGGCTATCTGTTATTGAGCCAGCAATACTTTATGCTGCAGTCAATAAAAAGGTATTGTCAAAGCTGCCTTGACCAGATGCATCATTTTACAATGGGGCTCGTGATTGCTTGTCATGGCTTACACAAAGTTCAGAGTATAAAATTTGGTCCCTTATGAAATGTACGATTGATCTCGATTTAGGTATATATTTTTTGATACATTTTGGAGACTAGGGGAAGGGTAGGGTTCCTTAATCCTATCCTATTTCTGTTGTCCTGACTAAGGCTGGCCATACATTATACAATTATCTGCAGATTTTTGATTTACCAAAAACCATATAATAGGAGGACAAACCTAAACAACACTTTCAGTTGTATCCAATTAGGCAGGCCCTTGCACTACATAGTTGAAGGTAAATCTAAAGGAAATTGGGCAGCGAAGAAAATCTGCAGATAATTGTATAATGTATGGCCAGACTAATCCTAGGTTCACACCTAAGCGTTTTCCCGCAGCGTTTTGCAGAAAGGCACTACAGTCCATTTAACATGATTTCCTATGGGACATGTTCAGTGCTGTCTGTGATTGCTGTGCCCAGCATAGTGGCCTTTTACAACGTGATCAGCTACATCCAAGGACACAGTTGATCACAAGGTAAAAATAGTTACCAGTTATCGCCAGCACTTTGCTCAGGCTGTCACAGCGTGAGGAAAGCACTGCCGATAACTGTCAAGTGTCACAGAGGGCATATGCACTGATAATCAGGGCACTGATTATCAGTACCCTGATTATCAGTGCAGCCCCAAAAGTGCCCTGCAGTGGCTCCCAGCAGTGCCCATCAGTGCCACCCATCAGTCCCCAGCAGTGCTCAGCAGTGCCACCATAAGTGCCCAGCAGTGCCTCCCATCAGTGTCCATCAGTGCCGCCAGTCAGTGCCGCCAGTTAGTGCTGCCAG